GTGGGTGAGAGGGAAGCATTAGAGGGGGAGCATGAGTGAAATGGGAGAAGGGGAGAGAGTGGAAATTTTGAATGATACTATTTATAAAGCAAAAACAATTTTCCACAATTCAAAAATGGAAAAAAAGTGAGAGAGAGAACGAGCCTAGGGATCAAAACCATGGTATTGATACCCACAGGAATAGCTAATATGAGATAGTGAGAGATCACTGACTCTGGATTGGTAGAATGGAACCTGCAAAAAAACCAAATTAGAACGCCTGAATGTGATGGAGTGTTGTGAGAATTGAGCCACTGACAGTGGAACCAGGATTTAACCCTAGTGCTTTAATTGTCAACATATACTATTTTCAACTTAGGCTGATGCTACACTAGAGTGAAAAACTTTGGGGCACTTTAGCATTACTGCACCCCTCTTCCTGGTAACCACTACCCTGCTAACCAACGACATATGCACTGGAGTTTTGAGTACTTTCCATCCCCTTTGTAGTCTTTCTTCAGTAGACCCAGAACCTGGAAATGGGGTGAGACGACCTGTAGGTGTTCCTCCTTGTAATCACCAAAGCATTGATCAATTAGAGTTAGCTGGCTGTTGAATGAACTAGTCAAAATAGATGACAAATGATTTCTGGACTTTCCCTTTGATTCTGTACTACACCTCCTTGATTTTTTGTTTTTTTTGTTTTTTTTCTATAAAGATCCTTTAGTAGACAAAGCAGTGTTTCTTCTCCTCTCAAGGCTGAGGGATCTCTGCCACAGCAGCAGAATAAAAATTCCTCTTGCTATTGACAATTGTTCTGAGAGTGTCTCTTGGGGTGACCTCCTCCTTGCTGGGGCTTTAGTTCCCAACAAGAGAAGCAGCTACACTTGGCAGATAATCAATGGTTCTGGCATGCACAAAATCTTGGTGTACTCTGGCAATACAGGCTTCAATTTCACACCTTCACACAATTTCACTATAAGCTTCCATTGAGGGTCACTCTTGACAAATGCCTGGCCTGAACTTCTTTCCTTAGGTGAAAGGCGAGATAATTAAATGCCGTTCTTCTACGTTTGACTTTTGTCAGAACCATGTAGCTAAGGTGGACGGGTTCTGTTACTAGCTGGATCATGGTCCCTGGTTTAATTACACCTTCACCAATTTTCTGTTTCTCTTTGTTTCCTTCACTAACTTTGCTTGACCCTTCAGGAATTTCTGTGGATCTCAGGGATCCATCAGCAAATAGCCTAATAGAGGTGATATTAAAGGCATGTTCCACAAAACCTGGATCTAAGCTTTTCTTTAATTCTCTTTCACTAGTTATTAATAACTAGGTTGATCTTGCCCAGATGTCACCACTCCCTTTATTTTATATTTTAATGTGTTTTTCTCCTTAAACACAAGATTCAAATCCATTCTACGGCTTTCCTGGTGCTCTTCTCAACTTAAATTTTCTACATTTTTTTTTTTTTTTTTTTTTTTTTTTTTTTTTTTTTTTTTTGGTTTTTCGAGACAGGGTTTCTCTGTGGTTTTGGAGCCTGTCCTGGAACTAGCTCTTGTAGACCAGGCTGGTCTCGAACTCACAGAGATCCGCCTGCCTCTGCCTCCCGAGTGCTGGGATTAAAGGCGTGCGCCACCACCGCCCGGCTTACATTTTTTATTTTTTAAATGCTCATTTTGCCTCTTTTCATTATAAATACTACTTCGTGTGACTACCGACAACAGCTTGACAGAGACTATACTATTAGTTTTTTTTTTTTTTGCTTGTTGTGAAATTTCCTCTGCCATAAGGATCAATTCCAAGCTCACCACTTTATACTTACTCAGACTGTTTAGAAAAGGGCAAAACCCAGATATTTCTTCATGAATATATCACAAGATTACCTAGGGAATATACTAATTTTATTCTCTTCTAAAACCTTTCAATGCTGTCTCACACAGTTCAAATCCCAATCAGAACCACTGTCTTTTTTTGCTCTTAATTGTATGCCCTAACTAGGAACACTTAAACCTTTGAACTGTTTTTCTAATCCACAGTACCAAAGTCCATATTCCTTCATCAGAAACATGATCACACAGTATCACAGAAAGACTCTAGTTCTTGGTATCAACTTTATATTAGTTATGGTTTTGTTGCTGCAATGAAACATCATGATAATTGCAACTCTAATGACGGAAATCATTTGATTGGGTGGCTTACACACTCAGATGTTTAGTCCTTTGTCATGATATTCAACACTGTAGTGTGTAGAAAGACATTCTACATACATGTGAATTCTCGGTGATAGGAAGTGAACTGATACACTAACAATGGCTTGTGCATATATGAGAGGTCAAGGCCTGCTTCCACAGTGGCACACTTCATCTAACAAGGCTATACCAAACCACCTAATCCACATCTGCAAATGCATTTCCTATTAGAGTATAGCAGGCAAATACTTCAAAATACCACAAATGATAACCTGATAAACAGGTAAGGTCTTGGAAAGTAGAGAACTCCATAGACACACACACACAACATGCACTTACATTTGCGCACACACACACACACACACACACACGTATGAACACCTTTGTAGTTCTCTGGCATGCTCAGTACAAATATCCATAAACATGCACGTAATGTCACCAGGCACAAATAACCCAGCTCTATAATAACAAGATACTTTGAGCCCCATATATTTCTATGTCATTGAAAATCTGAGTGCTGAAAAACCTTTCCTTTCTAGAACTGATTCTTTTGACTGTTTGTTTGCTGGATGTTTGTTTTTTGAGACAGGGTTTTGCTGTATCTTTATAGTCTGCCAATAATTAATTCATGTTGACTAGAGTTGCCTGGCCCTAACAAAGTACCTCCTGCCTCTGCCTCCTGAGTGCTGGGATTAAAGGTGTGTGCCACCAGCACCTGACTAAAATTGATTCTTAACTGAGGCTTGATCACAGACATGATAAAATAACCAGGGCTCCTTTCTGGTGTAGAAGGTGAGAATAAAGAAAATAAACCAATAAAACCTCTGCTGGGTCTGAGAAAAGAAGATAGATTGGTTTCTTGTGGTGAAAATACAAAGAGGCATTATGAATAATTTCAGATACTAGTCCATAAGAGGCACAACACCATTCAGAAAAAGAGGCTGCCTATATATCAGGACAACATTTTCAATAACTCCATATCCAATAGTGGGAGAATATTCTCAATATATAAAACTCAATACCTAGATATAAAAAACAGTAAACCAACTAAAAATGGATAAACACTTAGACAATATTCAAAGTGAAAACGGAAATGAATGTGAAACAAAGAAACTTTCTGAAGCCCTGCATGACTGTTGGAGGCCCAAGCAGGCTGACCAACTCTGATGCCATCAAGGCTTAGATTGTTTGACCCTAGAATCCAAACACTGAAGAGGAGTCGCCCCAGAGACTACCCCTCACACCACAACTGATGAAAACGCATGAGAATTTTATTAATTTTGTCATGACAGTGTCCCTCAGCATTCGAGAAGCCGAGAGACCTCGAATAGCTGGTACAGGCTACAATTAATGGAGAAGGCCACAGAAGCAATGTGGCTTGTTCTTTGGCTATTATGATTTGCTTATTTGAAAGGGTTGTTACCAATAATTGGCTGGAGAACTCTTGCCAGATCAGATGAGGTAAGAGGTCATTTTGACCCCATTTCCCAGGGTTGAATAAAAACATACGTGTATGGGTAATTGTTCAGGAACCGAGTCAATGTCTTAAAGGTTATCTTGCCCCAATTTCTGGAAACATATGTGCATATATGGCTCTTAGGTCCTTGCTTCCCAGGGAACGAGGGGGAGCACTGTGGCAGGAAGGCTTAGAAGGTTCAGAATTGTCAGAAATGGCTTCAGAATTGTCTTAAACTTTTACAAGATCCAAAGCTTTCAGTTCACATACACCAACAACTTCTCCACAAACTGGTTCTGCCGAAGCAGATGTCATCCCTAAATAGGACAGTCTTTTATCTACCTGGAGCTTGTAACTTGGAGGTGCTGTGATTGCAGTAAGCACTGCCAGCTCTCCTGGGAGGCTCACCTGGTGGGGTTTGGGGGCAGGGGTGAGGGTTGGGACATTGATGCTGTCTCCAGCTACAAGCCTAAAGGCAGAGCCTGGCAAACCTTAGAAAGGAAGACCATAAGGGAAGAGAGGTGGCTGGTTGCCTGGAATTCACAAGGAAACTTTCATAATCCTCACCCCAAAGCCCTGTCAAAAATAGGTTCCCATTTTCTGGGTGTATCTGAGATACACCCCAGAAAACCCCAGGGCTGATCTGATATTTATCATCCATAAGAACCCAGAAACTGTCAAATGGTTCTGATTCTCACCTTTAATCCCAACATCCTTCAGGCAGAATCATCCACATCTTATTGTGAGTTCAAGCCTAACCTGGTATACACACGGAGTTCCAGGACAACCAGGGCCTTTATACACATAAAGCCTCCTACAAAATCCAAAAATTAAAAAGCACCTTAGAGCCTAAAATCCAAAGAGCCGAAAATAAAAGTAGTAGAAGAATTTAATAAAGAGAAAAAAATAAAGTCTTATGACTGCATTTTAAACTTGAGTGGACAGAAGAATATACTGTGTGACATACTGCAGTTTTTTTAAAGGCTTGGGTGACGGGATGAACCACTAACATTTTCAAATTAAACCAGAAAGCACAGACAGCAAATGATGAAGGCTAAGCTCCTTAATCTCAAGGTCAATTCAATTATATCGAGGGATTTCTGCCATTGTGAGAGATGTTTTTGTTTGCCAACATTACTACAACGGGAACGAACCTTGTTCGCATCTCTGTTCCTTCCTGGGAACAAGAGCCAACTTCTTTGGGATTCCAGTAGATACTGAAGACCAGCCAAGAGAGAAAGCACTGTGGACTGAGCAACTCCTGAAATTTTTGAAGTTTCAGTTCATAGCCAGCCATTGTCAGATTACCTGGACAGCAGCCTGTAAGTGATTCCCATAAATTCCAAGGGGGAGTTTGAAGGTACATTCTAAAACAATGGCGGCCAGTGGCAGTGATCCTCGGGTTGCAGACCTTGAAGAAGATGCCACTCACCTCTTCTTTTCGAAAGAGTTTGAGACAGTGGAGACAGTCCTGAACTCTGAAGTTCACATGCTTCTGGAGCATCGAAAGCTGCAGAATGAGAGCGCAGAAGATGAGCAGGAGCTTTCAGAGGTTTGCATGAAAACCCTGAACTATACAGCCCGCTTCAGTCATTTCAAAAATAGAGAGACCATTGCCAGTGTTCGTAGCTTGCTTCTCCAGAAAAAGCTACATAAGTTTGAGTTGGCCTGTTCAGCTAATCTTTGCCTAGAGACTGCTGAGGAGTCCAAAGCTCTGATTCCAAGTCTGGAAGGGTGTTTTGAAGATGAGGAAGTGCAGCAGATTCTCGATGATATCCAGACCAAGCGCAGCTTACAGTACCGATGTTCACACCCTGCTCCTGAGATTGCTCAGAACGCCACCACATCCCAGCCAGGTCAGCCTCATGCAGGAGTGCTGAAGCAGAAGACACTTGGGTCACTTTGCTTTATTGAGATATAATGTCCCACTGTGGTCCTCAGACTCATGATATGCCTCATGCCTCACTCAGCCAAGTTCTGGGATTACAGGCGTGAGCCAACACTCAACAGCTTGGCTTTTGGAGAGAAAAGGCTGGCTTGGTGATGGTCTTGGTTGCTGTTTCCACAGTGACTATTGGACCATAGTTACTGAGTTTTCTTGGTGCAACCTTGTAAGCGTTGCAGTATGGAACCTGTCAGGTATAATGATGTGTTGACTGTCTCTTCCCTTAGTAGTTTTGGAGCCCATGTTGTTCTTTGTTCTTGTCATTTCAATTTTTGATGTAAATAACTAACATTGTGTAGTTTTTATAACTAAACTGTTATACAAAATCTTGTATAGGGGCAGAATATTCTTATCTAGTTGCAAATGGGAGAGATAAACCAGAATTTTTTTTAAAGAATTTAATTTCTTTATTTATTTCTGGGGAGGGGGTACATGATCCATGGTATGTGTGTGGAGAAGAACTTGCAAGAATCAGTTCTGTCCACTATGTTTACTTTCAAGATTGAAATCAAGCTATCAAACTTGGTGACCAGAACTGTTACTCACTGGGCCATCTTGCTGGACTCTAAATTATATTTATTTTATTTACTTATTTATTTTTGCAACTTTAGAGATTCGACCAAAAGCCTTCTCTATGCTAAACAAGGGCTGTATCTATGAGTAACTTGCTATCACTGAAGTTCCATTTGCTTCTGTTTGTGTGTTGTGTACTAGGAGACTAGCAGAGGAAATTGGATGTATACCTATTGTCTTGGGGTTTTTATTGCTGTGAAGAGGCACAATGACCATGGCAACTACTTTCTTTTTCCCCAAGAACAGGTTTTTCTGTGGAACAGTCCTGACTGTCCTGAAACTCAATCTGTGGACCATGATGGCCTCAAACTTACAGAGATCTGCCTGCCTGTGCCACCTAAGTGCTGGGACTAAAGGTGAACACCACCACCTCCTGGCTACCATGGCAACTCTTTTCGTTTGGTTGGTTTGGTTTGGTTTTTTTCAGACAGGGTTTCTCTGTGTAGCTTTGAAGACTGTCCTGGTACTCTCTCTGTAGTCCAGGCTGGCCTTGAACTCACAGAGTTCTGCCTGTCTTTACACCACTCCTCCACTGCCAAGTGCAGGGATTAAAGGTGTGTGCCACCACTGCCTAGCTCGGTATTCCTTATGAAAGAAGCATTTAATTCAGGTGACTCGCTTACAACTTCAGAAGTTCAGGTCATTGTTAAAATTGGGGAGAACATGGCACTGTGCAGGCAGTCATTGTGCTGGAGATGAGAGGGCTACATTTTAAAAGCAACAAGTCAACTGACTGACCCCAGATGCAGGGCAGCTCCTCTCAGAGCCAGACGCGATGCAGCCAGCCACCAGGTCAGATATGCTGAATCTTTCCCGGTAAGCGCACCAAGAGGTGCTATGCAGATTATTGGAAATGGGCTAAGTAATTATGTGAGAATTAGCCTAGAAGAGGCTAGATATAATGGGCCAGGCAGTGTTTAAAAGAATACAGTTTGTGTGTTGTTATTTGTGGCATAAGCTAGCCAGTCGGCCAGGAGCTGTGTGTAAGGAAGGGGCCCGCAGCTCCCACTACAGAATGGCGCCTGACATGGTAGCAGCAATTTCTTGGGTCTGCTCTGCTTGCTAGAGGCAAGCAAGCACTCTCATCGTAGAGAGGCTACCTGACTCAACTTTAGCTGCAAAACCTTGCGGCTCTTTTAAGAGGTCCTGCCATGAAACACTTAAATCGTGTTGATGAAAAGCTGAACACATGCTCTTTGGTTTTCAGCCATAGCAGGAAAAAAAGCTGAGCCATTGTAAATTCCAGCTTTCTGGGCCATCCTGAACAAACGCTGACTCTTTCAGGCAGGCAGTCTTTGTGGTTAAGCACACTGTGGCAGCTTGCTTGCTGGCAGGGACCTTGAAACGCCATAGAGTTCTGGCAATAAACATGGCTACAGCTGTAACCTCTGCCATGAGGCTGGAAAGCTAAGGAATGGGCGGGATGTAGCCGGCAAAGCCACGGCTTTAATCCTACCCATATTGCTCAGTAATTTAAAGGCTTGTGTAGTCAGAAAAAGAGAAATATACAGTGAAAAGGGATTCAAAGACAAAGAAAACCTTTAAATAATTTACAGTGTGTTAAAAACATATGCAGGCTAACAGTAAAAGTTCTTAAATTAAAAAACAAAAAAAAGGAAGAAAGAGAGTAGTTGGGTGTGGTAGTACACACCTTCAATCCCAACACTTGGGGGGCAGAGGGAGATTGACCTCTGTGACTTCCAGGTGTGGTAGCACACGCCTTTAATCTCAAAGCCAGGGTGGCAGAGACAGATGGATCTCTGAGAGTTGAAGGACAGCCTGGTCTACAGAGTTATTCCAAGTCAATGATATACAGAGAAGGGTTGCTCTGAACACCTTCAAAAAAATCACTTCACTCAACTGCTGACTGAGATGAATCTAGCACACAGGTTATACCATGAAAGACCTACATAAAAGCAGCCTATTCAGTAGGAAGCAGTTTGGAGAGCAAAAACTGTGCCCATGTTCCCAAATATTGTTTATCAATGTTCTTTTACTATTAAAAAGGGATATGCTAGAGATATGAATAATTTGCATTGGTATGGATTTGACTTTATTAATATAAATTTAAGGTCAATCTTGTTACATGTGTATGTATTCCTGATATTGATTAAGGTCTTCTGATTAGGTAGTTCATGTAAAATGTAATGTATATAGGTTGATGATGGATAATATTTAATAATAATCAAGTTTGTAGTTATGTTAGTTAGATTTTCTAGATGGACATAGATATATTTTAGATAGACATTTTTCATATCTTTCTAAGACTACAGAACAGGATATTTAATGTTTTAATAACTTAGGGCATTTCAAGACAATGAGACATCTGCTCCTGGCATCACCAATCTACTACCAAAGGAAGATGGGCATCGAAGAAGCTCCTTATCGAGTTTGATAGCCATTTGGGCAAGAAACTGCTATTGTCTGGACTATTGCATAAACTGGACACAGACAACCCGCAGAGAGTGGACTACTGAACTTGCTTAAAGGTGAGATGATCTTACAGGGTTCTGATACATGAAGGAGTATGCAAGACATTCTGCAGGACACAGCAGATAGTGACTGATCTGCCTTTGAAATTTCCTGCTTCATGGAAATGTCTCTGGATTCTATGGGCCTGAAGGCCGAAGATGGATGCCCCAGAGGTACAAAAGAACTTTGGGTGACTGTCCAGGCAGCGAGATGTCTCTGTTAATTCTAGAGTTTGGAAGTTGCTTATTTTTGTTTGCTTGAGTAATATTGTATCTGTCTTGTGTCTTTGATGGAGTTGAAGAAGAGATAGTTAAAGTTATATGTTTCCTTAGTTATGAAAAGATAAAATAGATGTAAATATTGTATTTTTTACTTGATAACTACTTTGTTAAATTAATTTTGCTATGTTAAAGTTAAAGCCTCCCTTACTTTTAGTTTAAACAGAAAATGGGAAATGATGGAGGAAGGTCATTGGCTAATAAAGAAAGTGCCTTGGCCCATTTTGTAGCTTAGAACATTGGTGGGTGGAGTAAACAGAACAGAATACTGGGAGGAAGAGAAAGTGAGCTCAGTAGCCATGCTCCCCTCTCCTGGGCAGACACGATGAAGCCAATGATAATGGCACTGGGATTTGTCTCTACTTCGCGTACTGGCTTTTTGAGATCCTAGTCTATTTGGATGCACACCTTCCTAAGCCTGAATGGAGGGCAGAGGTACTTGGATTTCCCACAGGGCAGGGTGGTACCCTGACCTCTCTTAGGACTGGAGGGGGAGAGGGGTAGCAAGATTGGGGGAGCTTAAATGAAATGGGAGGAGGGGAGGAAGTGGAAATTTTGAATTGTATTATTTATAAAGCACAAAATATAAAAAAAAATTACCACAATTTAAGGAATGGGGGAAATAAAGAGAGAATGAGCATAGGGATCAAAACCATGATAGTGATACCCACAGAAATAGCTGATCTGAGATAGTGAGAGCTACTGGCTCTGGACTGAGAGCAAGAAAACCTGCAAAAACTAAATTATAACCCCTGAATTTGATTGAGAGTCTTGCGGATCGGGGCCCTAATTGTGGAACCAGAATTTATCCCTAGTGCTTTAACTGTCAACATACTATTTTCAATTAGGCTGTTCCTACACGAGAGAAGCAGCTACCCTTGGCAGAAAACCAATGGTTCTGGCATTCCACAAAATCTTGGTGTACTCTAGGCAATAAAGAATTCAAGATCACACCTTCACTCAATTTCTCTATAGGCTTCCATTGAGGGTCACTCTTGACAAATGCCTGGCCTCAACCGCTTTCCTTATGTCAAGGCGAGATCCTTCTACTTTTGACTTTAATGTCAGAACCATGTAGCTAAGGCTGGCAGGTTCTTTTACTAGCTGGATCATGGTCCCTGGTTTAATTACACCTTCACCAATTTTCAGTTTCTCTTTGTTTCATTCACTAACTTTGCTTGTCTCCTCAGGAATTTGCTGTAAATACTGTGCTTGCCTAACCTCAGGGATCCATCAGCATATAGCCTACTAGAGTTGGGATTAAAGGCATGTACCACAGCAGCAGACTCTAAGCTTTTCTTTAATTCCTTTTCACTAGTTGTTAATTTAACTGTGTTGATCTTGCCCTGAGGTCACCACTCCCTTCATTACAGTTCTAAGTGTTTTTTCCTTTAACACAAGATTTAACTCCATTCCACTTCCTGGTGCTCCTTTTAGCCTTGGATTTTCTACATCTTTCATTTTTTAAATACTCAGTTTGCCCTTTTTCACTATAAATCCTGCTTAAAGTCACTACTTACAATAGCTTGACTATACCAGTGGTTTTCTTTTTTTCTTATTTTTTTATATTTTATATTTTGTCTGCCATAAGGATCAATTCCAAACTCCACAATTTAGAGTTAGGCAGACTCTAGAAAAGGCCAAAACCTAAAT